GTGTGTGTGTGTGTGTGTGTGTGTGTGTGTGCCTCTCCCTCCTCCCAGCCCGCGTCTGCTGCTGATCCCTGCTGGGGAAGGGAGGAGAGGAAAGGTGATGGTCCAAAGGGGATCCTCAGCATCTGGGCTTAAACTTCAGAGAAGAGGGAGGCGGAGTGAAAAGGAGACTAGGAGAGAGATTGCAGGGAGTTGCCAGCGGGGCAGGGCACGTGGGCAGAAGAGGGGAGAGGTGCAGGTACAGTATGGGGCTGCTCGGAACAGCTGCTCTCCCCTGGGGCCAGCAGCTTGCTCTCCAGAAGGCCCTAGCGCGTTCGCTGCTGCTCATTGAGTCAGACAAAGAACCCCCCCCCCAGCTCTTTTCCCTTCCCAGCCCGGCTCCCCGCAGCAATCCCCAGCCCGGTTCCTCTTCTGCCCCCCCGCAAAGTCCCATGCCCAGCTCTACTCCCCTGAGCTCGGCTCCCCCCATCTCTTCCCAGACTCCAGGTATCCCTCCAGCTCTGTTCCCAGCCTTGCCTGGCCTCCCCCTGCCTGGCCTGGCTCCCCCTGCTCACTCACATGCAAACTTTTGTTCCTGGCTCTGTGAGGCCCCACCTGAGCCAGAGCCCTCAGCTGGCCAGCTGAGGAGTTAATGGGCAGAGGGGAGGGACCAGGAGGTTGGGTCGGGGAGGGGCCGGAGAGGAGAGGAGTCCACGCCGCAGCCAGTGAGGATGGTGCCCTACATTTTTGGGTGCCCTACGCAGTCTTTCATGCAGGGCCCCACATCTGTACCCCAGAGTTCAGAATGGGGAGGGACCCCTGACAGTTACAGTATTTCTAGAGAGTGGTCATGCTCTGCAGCTGAGCCCTATTTTTATGTCCAGCCAAGCTCCAGTTTTCATAGTACTTAAGGTAGCATCAAAGGTAGCTGTATACCATGATTATGTCCCACTTCTAGCCAGGGATTGTGGGAGCACAACAATGTTCCAAATGTGCCCTCTTTTCCTGGTCTTATGTCCTATATCAGGGCTGGGATGGTGGTGGTATAGAGCCCCGACCTGGGGAATCCAGTTGGCTGGGACAATCCTGAGATGGCCATCTACTATGCCTTTATCAGAGCCTTTGCTTTACCGGAGTGTTTCATTTCCCTTTCCCCAACCCCTAGTCTGTTCTAGTCCAGATAAAAACTTGTTTTGCTGGAAATTCATGCTGGTTTGGACATAACTGTTTTTGGAGGTAACAATTACATGAACTATGCAACACAGATCACATTTACATGACATTATGTACATTTAAATATTATCAACAGTTATTGAACAAAATACACAAATCATTTTACATCATGCAGCCTTAACTATGCTTTATTCCTGTTGCTGTTCACATTGACTGGAATGTATGTAAAGAATGTCAGACAAGGTAAAAAAATTAGGTTTCAAGCATTTTGAGGCAGAGACTGTGTTTTCAGATACATTTTTGAGGTATCAAGCATGTTTGGGGAGCTACATAAATAACACAATTCTGGATTATATTTCAGATAAATTCCATATCAAGAGAAATTACTTTGTTTATAGATTAGTTGGGAATAATTGTTAGGAATCCTACAAAATGTGGAAACATGGACAAATTGCTAAGGAGGAGTATACAAGAATAGCACGAGCATGCAGGGATAAAATCAGAGAGGCTAAGGCACAAAATGAGTTACACATATAAGGCAAAAAGAAGAGATTCTTTAAATACATTAGGAACAAGCATCACTTTGGATGAGTCGTGCCATGCACAGGATAAACCTTATTATCGGTATTTGTCCGCACTGTGTCTGATGACTGTGTTGTAAGGGAAGAACTCCTCGATATCATGTCACTTTCATGACAAAGAGATTGCACTACAGTACTTGTATGAGGTGAAGTGAAAAATACTATTTCTTTTGTTCATCATTTTTACAGTGCAAATATTATTAATAAAAAATAATATACACTTTGATTTCAATTACAACACAAATACAATATCCATGAAAATGTAGAAAAACATCTAAAATATTTAATAAATTTCAATTGGTATTTTATTGTTTAACTGTCTGATTAAAACTGCAGTTAATCAGGCTTAATTTTTTTTAATCACCATTAACTCAAAAAAATTAATCGACAGCCCCAATAATGATTCACTTGATCATCTGTGTGGAAGCTCCTCAGTCATTATGTGATCTGTCTTTGTTTAAAAAAATTAAAATATCCTGTCATGGAGCAGGAACAGGGCTGCACAACATAGGTGACAAATAACACACTGTAAATAATAATGAACATTTGTGAATATCCCAGAATCTGAACATTGTTTGTCCTAACTCTTTGGTGAATAGTTACAAAAAACTGACTCTGTCAAATCAGGGAAGAGTTAAGACTGTTTGTTTGTTACCCCAAACAGGAGCTGGAATGGTACAGAATGTTCTCTGTTCTGATTCATTTTGACTTCCTCTGAATTCATTAATCAGTAGGTGAACATTAAAGATGTGGAGTCAGACGATGCTCACTTTCCTCTCACAGCTAGTACAATTGGCTTCAACGAAATTACTCTCATTAAAATAGCAAAAAGGATTTGATCCCTGACCTGTAATTCAGTGATTGTGGAGGAAGCCACTTTGACTCTTAGGCCTTGTTTACACTTGCAGATGTAGAGCCCCGGGAGTTAAACCAGCTCTCGGAGACAGCAGCAGGGAAAGCGCTGCCGTGTGTTCACACTGTCAGCTGCAAGTGCAGTGGCGTGGCCACATTTGTGGCACTTGCAGCGGCATTTGGAGCCGTGCATTATAGGCAGCTATCCCACAGAGCGCCTCTTCCCATTCAGCTGAGGTTTGTGGGAAGGGGGCATCCTGGGTCCTGTCCCAATGCCCCGTGATGTATTGCTTTGCATCCCAGCAATCCCTGTGCTTCTGTCCACATTTGGCGCCATCTTTCAACAGTTTTTTTACTGTGTGCTCTATCTTCCCTTTCGGTCTGAATGGATCCCAAATTGCTGAGGAATATGCTGATGGGTCTCACCAGCATGTCACGAATTGCAGTCGAGTTACTCCTTAAGCTACAAAGTGACCGTGAGGAGTCTGACAATTATGTTGGCACGCATAACGCATATGATATGTGATTGCTTGTGGCATTCACGGACATGTTCACCACCGTGGAATGCCACTTTTGTGATCGGGAAACAAGCACTGAGTGGTGGGATCATATTATCATGCAAGTCTGGGATGACAAGCCATGGCTGCAGAACTTTCGGATGAGGAAAGCCACTTTATGGGACTGTGTGCTGAGCTCTTCCCCACCCTGTGGCGCAAGGACATGAGATTGAGAGCTGTCCTGCTGGTGCAGAAGTGTGTGGCGATTGCAATCTGGAAGCTGGCAACTCCAGGCAGCTACCGATCAGTTGCTAACCAGTTTGGAATGGGCAAGTTGACTATTGGAATTGTGTTAATGCAAGTTTGCAGGGCCATTAATCGCATTCTGCTCAGAAGAACCGGGACTCTGGACAACGTGCATGACATTGTGGATAGCTTTGCATAAATGGGTTTCCCTAACTGCGGAGGGGTGATAGATGGCATGCATATTCCAATTCTGGCACCAGACTACCTACATAAATCGGAAGGGGTATTTCTCAATGGTTCTCCAGGCACTTGTGGATCACCGTGCCTGTTGCTTTCCTGGGCTGTGCTACCTTTTAGTTAATGCAATAAAGAATGTTTCCAAAACCAGAAAAAATCATGTATTGAAAAGAAACACAACTGCTGGAGAAACACACATGGCATAACACATCTGTGCTGTATGGGAGGAGGGAAGGGGGTGGGGTGGGGTGGGGAACGGAACAATCACAGATTTGTGTATGTCCTATTATCATATTCAGCCTTCCTGTCTGGAGTGCCATGTAATGAGTGCTGCACTTCAGGCTGGCTAAAATGCATGGTGATAGGGGTTGAGTGCAATGGATAAGGGTCATAGTTTGCAGGGCTGGGCGGTGAAGGTAAAGATGTTGGAGGCAGCTGGTGGTGATAATAAACCGGATTTTGGGAAAAGTGTGTTGGCAGTGACATGGGGGCGCAAGGGAAAGAGTTTTGGGACAAGGGCTCCAGGGGTGGGGGGTGCAGATCTGCTCCATATGCAGTGCTATGAGTGCCTGCATCGCGTCCGCTTGGCGCGCCATAATGCTTAGGAGCCACTCCGTGATTTGTTGCTGGCAATCCGCATTCTCCCGATGGACCCTCCTTTTGGTCTCCCACCACTCCTGTATTTTTTGATTTTCAGTAAGGGACTACTGCATGACTTCATGCAGAAGGTCCTCCTTGCTTCTTCATGGCCGCTTCCTGAGTCTGTGCAGCCTTTCGGCCATTGATAACAAGGATGGCTGGGATCTCAAGGTTGCATCTGTAAAGCCAAAATGCAACATTTAACAGAGGCAGCATTGTTAACACTAGACAGAGCAATAATTCGTGTGCAGCAATGGTCCCCCCGCCCCTCACGGCACAGTGGCGTGGATATGTTAGCCTTACTGGTGTCATCAGACATTACTGGTGTGGTGCTCTGCTCTGTTCAATGTTGATATCAGTTGGCTGTGTGCGTGTTCCCTCTGTGTGCTGCCCCAGCTCTGTGCAGATAGCTGACACAACAGACCCTGAGAGAACCCTCA